CCCCCCCCCCCCCCCCCCAGCTCACCTCCAGCCTTACTTCCTAAAATTTCCTCATCAGCACAGCATTGATACCTGTCCTAGGGCTTTTGCAGTCACTGTTGACACTGACTGTTCTGCCCGCTTTGTCCCCTTTCAACTCCTGGTCTTTGTTCAGCTCTTGCTTGGCTAAATGATTTTTTTTCCTAAAAGCCCTGGAAATCCCAGGCTGGATGAGGCACCCCTCCGGGCTCTTACAGTCCCCAATAAAAGCACTGCTAATACTGCCCTGTAATTGTTGGGTCCCTGACCTGGGTAGTACACCCAAGGATTGGCAAACCCCAATCCTGGGAGTATCTGTGGGTATACTCCTGACTGGTACTGAGGATGGAGCACTGTCCAAGGAGAATCTGGGGATAGAAGAGTGAGCTGAATATGGACAAAGAGCAAGTGGAAAAGGGCAGGTGGGCCTCAGGTTGGACCTCTGGGCTTCCCTACCTTCCCGGGAAACCAAGATTTCCTGCTGTGGGGTGCTGCCCCAGCCTGGAGAGGCTAGAGACGCATCCAGAACACACTGTGGTTGATGAGCAAAGGACCAACCAGCCCGCCAAGACCTGGCTCCAGCTCCAGACCAGCCCTCTGGCCCACAACTAGGTCTACTGACTCGAGGTTCAGGCTGGCTTTGGCTGGCCCAGCCTTCACAGACCCTCCAAGCAAGCTTTTCAAGGAGCCGGCCAGGGGCTTGGAATCAGGCAGGCACCAGAGGGGGCAAAGAACACTGTTCCTCAGGAAGCTCAGCCAAGGGACCAGTCCCCAGTAGGCACTGGGATGAGTGTAGTATCCCCCTGCCCACCAGGTGGCTGAGAGGCAACAGCCTCTTGGAACCATTCATATTGCCCCTCACTGCTCCGGTGGGCCTGCCTTTTCTTCCTTACTCTCCTAACCCTGAGTGGCTTGGTGCTCCCCACCCCTACCAAGTCTCTCAGACATTGAGGCAGATGTCGAATGCAGAAGGTCTTGACCAGGAGCCAAGGGCAGCGTGCTGGGCTACATGGGCAATGAACAGAGCTGCTGGGCAGCTCCTGGTACAGACACAAGACCTGGCAGCGGGGTGCTGTGAGAAGGACGGAGAAGGAAAAGGAAACGGCAGGTACGGTTTCCCCAGCGCAAGGTGCCCTCTTCCCACTGGGTTCACACTCACCAGCTCACGGTGTGGGGAAGCTGTCCCATGCTGCCTGAGGTCAGAGAGTAGAAGCCAGAGAGGTCAGGGGTCTGCAGAGGCCTGTGAACTACAGTGGAGAGGGGCCAAGTAAGTGATCTATCCTGACCTGGAAGCCACTTCTGCTAGTTACTGCCTCCTAGGCCTTCCTGTGGGGCCTCTCCCACCTCCCATTAGCTAGAGGACCAGACATACTGGTTTGTTGAGGACTGTTCCAGTGTGATAATGGTACCCCGTTTATAGGCTAGGGAAGCAAGGGCAGAGTGGCAGGGTGACTAGCCTAAGGATACAGGCTGCCAGTGGGAGAGCTGGAGTCACTCAGGAGTGGGATGGCTGGGCCTCATCATGCCCCGGCCCGCTGCTGGTCTTCAGCTGGGGCCTCTAAGCTGGGGGCTCTGGCCTGGCTTTCTGGGCAGGAGGCAGGCCCCCTGGCCTGGACAGCCAGGGTTCCACCCGCCCCCTTTGGCTCCCCAGGGTTGAGTCAGCAGGTTTCCCACAGCCGACAATGGCTGATTTCAGAATGACTTTCCCTGAGGCTGAGGTGAATCAGCCATCACAACCACCACTTTCCATTTTCTCATTGAGGGAGGGTGGGCAGGGAGGGAAGGATACAGGTTTTACAGTCTTCAGTTTTACACAGATTCCTGCTCCCATATACTGGCACTGGGAGGTCATTCAGGATGTGGGTTTCTACCTCAACCCGAAACCTTCCAAGTTTGACCTAGTACCACCTGCTCTCAGGCTCCCAGGCCATCTTTCTGGCATTTTTCTTGGGGTTTTGAGTTTGCCCAGCGCCAGGCTTTCCAGTTGTTAAAAAGGGGCTAACCCCCCTGGACCCAGAAGCCTAGGACTTGGCCCCTAGGCTCTGGGACCGACAGGCCCCTCCCCTTCCCAGATCCATACCTTGCTTCTGGCTGATGTCGGCTGGTGCAGGTGTAGGGTGTGGGCTGCTGAAATGTTCATAGAGAGGAGAGAGCTGTGGGACGCTGTGGGCTGGCTGACTGGCCTTGTTGTGCTGAAAAATGAGGAGGGAGGGTGTGAATGTGGGGAGACCCGAAGGAGGAAGGCACAGGGCTGGGGGCATACATATACACAGAGCCCCTTTTAGCTGTGTGGGTAGCCCAAATGTCAAAGGAAAGTGGGGGTGGTTAAAACCACAGGCCTCAGGAGAAGGGGCACCACTCAAGACATCCTATGTCTAGTGGCCCTGCCCACAGCCCCCCAGACTTTGCTCAAGCAGTCCCATCACCTACAGAGTCTCCTGGTTTGTGTATACTCAGTTCCAGGAGGTGCACCTCTCCTGTCCAGGAAATTTCCTGCCTCTAGGTCTGAGATCACCGCCCACCCCCGCCACCATTTCTCTGAGGCCCTGTGGCTTGTATGGGGGGCTTCTCATACCCTCCAGCCCCAGACACCAGGTAATGGTCTGAAGACCTGGCTTACCCCAAGACAGCCTGGAGTTCTTTTTCCTACTTCTCCACCCCCAGACTTGGGGGTCCTAAGTCTGACCCTCTGTTCCACCTCAAGCTTAACAGGATTTGTGGGCACAAGGAAGGTTCCCATCTGCACTCTAACTCAGAGCAGGTGGGTCAGGTGGGGACAGGCTTCCTCCAAGGCCGACCCACCCAGCCCCCACACTTCCTGTCTCCTCAGCAATACAGGACTCTTACTTTTCTCACTAGTCACATGGATCTGTCAGGAGATGACTCATGCTGGGAAGGGGGCTCCCCGTAGGACCCAGCCACGGGGAGGTGCTGCTTGGGGCCAAGGCACAGCTCTGCACATCCCCAGTGCACATCTGCACAGTCCAGGACCCTGGAAACATCATCTACAATTGAGGCTCAGCTTCCACTTGGAAAAGTTCACCTGGGGGGATTCTGCTGGCTAGGAGCACAGATAAGTGTCTTTTGACTCCTGGCACAGAAGAAACGGGACAGCTTTGGAGCACGACAGCCATGAGAGGTTGTGGCCTGAGCTCCTTCCCATCCTGTGGGTGAATTTAGCCAGACTCCTTAACATCTCTGGGCTTCAGTTTCCTCTCTTGTGTAATGGATGGGGTTCATGCTCCCTGCATCACTAGGTTTGGGGAAGCTTAGGGTAGCTTATGGTGAGGCACCGGTCCCTTGGGTTTGGCAGTCTGTGGTCCAGGGTGAGGTGAGAAAAGGCCAGGTATGAATTGTGACTCAGCCAAGGTGTGAGGCTTCAGGGGGACACAGGCTCCCACACTTCCCAGCAACTGCCCTGGCTGCCCTCTTCCCCACATTCCTGCCTCCAGGGGAGCTTGAGGCTGGGTTCCAAGCTGCAGCACCCCTCCCGTCGGGGCTTGGGGAAGTTACCGACACCACCCACCTGTTCAATCCCGAGCTTGTTCATCTGCCCACTGAGAACCTTACATACCAGGACCTTCTGTCCTCAGGCAGACAGGGGTTGGTGTCCCAAAAGCAGTGGCTTCTTTGTGGTGGGCATGGATGTGTGGCACCACAACCCCTTCCTGAGCACCTCTCTCTGGAGCCTTCTCTTCGCTTCCTGGAGCAGCCTAGGAAGGACTCCCCACTGTGGGCCTGAGGAGGAGTCAGCTGACCACGTTTAGATCCTGGTTCTAACGTGTGTGGCCTTTAAGAACTTACTATAATACCTGAGCATCTGTTTTCTTGTCAAATGGAGATGAACATAGGGTTGTTGTAAGAGTAAAGCCACAAGATACCCAAGAGCTCTATTACCCAGCTGTAGAGTCATGAGGAAGGGACGTTCAGGAAGCCCCTTACCTGCACAAAGAAATGCTACTCACAGTCCTTCCCTGGCCCTGTGGTGCTAGCCTCACATGGGCCAGACGGTTTTAGTCTGAATTCACCGGAGGGGATTTGCCTGGGGACAAAAGACCCACCTGGTAGCCTACTTGGCAACATCACCCGGGGAGGCCACGGTGTCTCCAGGCCCTGGGTGCTGGGACTTTACTGCTCGTGTTCTAAGGTTTCCTGAGCAAGCTGAGAGGCTCATGCCACACCCCGGCCTTCTTTATCCCCAGAAGTGACCTCAGAGTCAGAGTCAGAGTATGTGTAGGAAGGGAAGGTAGAAAGTAGGATCCTCGGGCTGGAAAGAGTGGGTTCGAAAGGCTGTGGGGTATGTGGATACCTGTGGAATCCTTCACGTGTTGACTGCCTGCAACCTGTGAGGTACTGTGCCAAGCACTTTGCAAGCCCAGGCTCATTCCCACTAGGGTACCAACAGGCTGCCATTTCTCCCATCTGTAAATCTTCATCTTTCTCAGCCACCACCTCATGTCTTGCTCCCTTTTGTTGCAAACCTCAGGAGAGCCATCGCCAACCTCGGCTTCCTGTTCTTAATCTTGTGCTCCTGTCAGCCTAGCCAATCCCCTGCCCCATCATTTCACCAAATGGCACTTGTCAAGGTCCCCAGTGACTGCCACGCTGCCTGAACTCAATGGTCAGTTCTCAGTCTTCCTCCTACCTGACCTCTCAACAGCACCGGACACAACCGATTTCTCCCTCCTCCTTGAAAGATTTTCTTTGCTTGGCTTCCAGAATGCCACACCGACCTATTTTCTTCCAAGCTCAGAGGCCATTCTTTCTTGGGCTAATTTCTGGCTCCTCATCTTCTTCCTGATCCCACCCAAGATGTGCCCTTGGCTTTCCATCTACCATCCTTTCCAGAGTGTTCTCATCCAGGGTGGTAGCTTCAAATGTCCTCATCTGATTACTGACATTTCTATCTCAGCCTCTGCTTCCCCTAGGGAACACCACTCCCCGAATGCATACTCACCAAGTCTACCCAAAAGTCAGAAATGCTGCCCAAACCCAGTATGGCCAAAGCAGAGCCTCTGGTGTGCTGCACCAAATGCTCCTCTCCGTCTTCCCCAGTTACTGGCAATGCTCTCCTTCCAGATGCTCAGACACCTTGGAGTAATCCTGGACTCTCTTCTCTCACACACGTCTCCAATTTGTCAGGCAATCCTAATGGCTCTACTTTCAAGATAATTGAGAGCCCACCACTTCTTCCTCCCTATCCCCAACTCAGTCCAAGCCCCAGTCGCTTCCCACTCAGACAACTCCAGTAGCCTCTTGCCCTCCGCCATTCTTCCATCCAGCAAACCCGTGCCTCAGATCACACCATTCCCCTGCCCAGAGCAAGAAACAGCCTTAGATGACCTACAAAGCTGTGTGTGGTGAGGCCCACTCTCTCCCTAACCCCACTGCCTCCCTCTCTTCCCTGCTCACTATGCCCAGCATTTCCCATGTGTGCTTCAGCCTCCAGCCTCCTTCTCCAGTTAGTGTAAGGATACATATTTTTAATTTTTTTATTAGAGAACACATGCACATGCAAGTGGGGGGAGAGGGGCGGG